ACAAGTGCAGGGAGTGGGTCATGCACGTGGTAGGAAGAGCCTTTAGAAACTTCAAGTCCATCTTTGACTGACGGTACTACCGAAGCTAGGCAAGTCACCCCACATGTCAAATACACTATGGTGAAGGAACATCCTTTGGGAAGAGTTACGCAAACAAAGAACAGGAAGAAGAAGCAAAGGCAAAGAGCGCCAAGTTCGGGCAAGACTCAGAAGAAGAACCTGCACCCCCACCACTTGGGCATGACTGGGTTTCTTTGGTAAAGAGGCCCAGTGGCGGGAGGAAGAAAGGGCTAGAGCTGTCGCCGGGCTTCCCGATCCGTACGACGGTGTAGACTTGAGGGCTAAGGACTTCATCTATGCCCGCAAGCCGAAGAAGCTCAAGGAGGGCATGAGCAAGTTCAATGAGCCCAAGTTCAAGGAGGTGGAGAGGGCTCTCATCGAGGCCGCTAAATCCAAGGACAACTTTGAGGTTCACAGGGCGAGGACTTGTCGACCCGGGCGCTGGGAACCCCGATCATCGTGGCCACGTCCATGGCATGTCGTCGAAGATGAGATGGAACTCAGTGGAGTCATGGCAATCCGACGCTGCCACATACCAGTCAAGGCAGAGGTACAAGGAGGGCATCTTTCAGAAGGGCTATGATCAAGGCGTGGCCGAAATGATCAGCCGATTCATAAAAGAAGCCTTCATGAGCAATGACCCAGATATGGTGTCGATGAGGTCACAGATGCTCCGCCAGGCTGGCGTGGCCATGCCTCAAGTTCCACAAGGGCAGACACAAGGGCAGCCACTACCGATGATCGAGGATCGCCCAAGGCACCCCGTCGATGACATCCGGGAACCCATGCGCGTCCACCTCACGATCCCGTTCGGCAGGGCGAAAAAGTTGACCATGGGTGAGGGTTACATGCACCCCAAAGAAGATATCAAAGATTTCAACCAAGACCAGATCCCTGCCAACTATGCTGCCGTGATACTTACATGGTATGCGACCGAATACGAAGAATTTGAAATGGAATATCCAACCGCAGAAGGGGTAACAATCCTTGGAGCTGCCATGGGTTTCGAAGTCCTATGGAACAAGGACGACATAGAGATCATTCTCTCGACGCCGACTTCTATGCCGATGGCGACACCAGCATCACAACCATCTGTTGCCGAATCTTGTCCCCCCGATGATCCGGATCACGGTGACGGCGATGACAAAGGCAATGGCGGGGATGACAAGGGAAGGAACTCACCCCGAGGCACAAGCCCTCACCCTCGTTCTCCTCCTCCAACAACAAGTCCACCTCCACCTCCCGGCAGTCCGTCTAAGGGCACAAGCAAAGGACCGGGAGGTACGAAGGAACCAAGGGCAAAGACACCACCTACTGCCATTGTGAGCACAAGCCACTGTCCTCCACCACCAGCAAAGACTAAAGGCGACCAAGGGCAGCTCACATACTCACTTGAGTTCGAAAGGTATGGTAGCGGCGAGCATAATTTGCTAATAACTTTTGTTTGCCATAATATGGTACTAACATTTCTATCCCAGGCCGAGATCACCTTTCCATCTATTTCCTGAATCGGATGACTGCCCCAGCCATTACGAGCATGGGAAGTTCATGATAACCAAGGCCCAGCTCGTCGACGAGGAAAGGTGGGAGACAAGGAGGTTTCATCTCTGGTACATGGAAGCGGCAAAAGCTGGCCTGCATGGTTTTCTAGTCAAGGTTGTGGCGGAGTACTTCCACTTGCCCGGCAACGATGTAGAACTCCCTGTGGACTTCCACGACATGTACAGACTACTACGGGAACAAGACCTTGACATCGCCCAAGTCACCTTATTCTCTATGTAAGTGATGAATTGCGAGTTTCACATATCACCTGCCTTTGAATTGGTCAAGACTACTTATATATGCCACGATGGCTTGTCCTTGCAGGTTGATGGCCTATATATCCAAGGAACTAAAACTTGATGTTATCTATCTATCTCCAATGCATATTGCTCAAAGAATCATCATTGGTTACCACCTAGATGAAAATCATCCACCATGAAAGACTTGACCAAGCGACAGAGAGAGGCGCACAGGAAGAAACTGATGGACAATGAGAAGTTGAACATTTCAAGGTACATACTAGGAGCAATGAAGAAGATCAGGGGAAATGGGTGTATCCTAACTGCCTACCACTTTGGGTAAGTCGAAGACATGCTTGTAGAGATAAGTGGGTAGCTAGCTAGTATTATTATTTCTCGTCGTAACCTGTATTTTGTTTCAATGGCGCAGCCAAGGCCTCGAGGGTCACTGGGTTGCATTTATCATCTACCCTCAGGATGGTAGGGCCTGCGTATTTGATTCGTTGACAGTGCCAAACTTAAAAGGGTACAAGGCCTTTGAAGATTGCCTCAGAGTGTAAGTGACTGAACTGTCTTCTCATATGCGTTCTAATGCCCTGCCTAATACTAGTACATTTCGTATAGTGCTTATAAGGAGTACGTGAAGGATCCTGAATGCTATGATCGAAGAACAGAGAATTTTAAGGCTAAGCATAAGAACCGCATCAAAATCAGATGCAACTTTCCGGTAAGTATTTGAAAGGTTTAATTGTGCTTTCCGTTCATATGCGTTCTAATACCTATGTTGTAATGCTTGTGTATCGATCATGCAGTGTGCCAAACAACCGGTAGGATCACAAACCTGTGGCTTCTACGCCTGTGAGTACCTGAGGGAGTGCAAGCAGTACAGCAACAGTTGGAGGGTGCTCAAGAATGGATTGAACTGGTGGAGAGACGTGCAGAGCACCCAACAATCCTTCAAGCAGACAAAGGCGGACATATGTAAGTTTGTCTTAGACAAATGCGTGCTTGAAGGGGGCACGTTCTTCAATGAGAACAGCCCGCTAGCGATTTTACCGGAGTACGAGAGGCTGAGAAAATGACCCACGATGATGCGTCCGCAGGATTACTCCTCAGCGCATGTATAACGACTTTAATATGTAAATGTAATGAATTAACGATGACAAGAACGACTAAGTGAATGTATATATATGTATATTATCTCATGTGTAATGCCTGCATACTTTTTAAGTTTAATCTATGAAATCTGGATGTGATTTGAATTTGAATTTATATGCCTGCTGTATTTTTTTTAATTCAGGAAATAATTTACCGAGGCGGGCAAATAATAAAGCCCACCACGGCTAATGAACATAACCGCGGCGGGCCACAAAAGGTGTCCGCCGCGGTAAAATAATTTACCGTAGCGGGCGGTGTAACGTGACGCCGTGGTAAAAGTATATTTACCGCGGCGGGCACGTTACACCGCCCGCCGCGGTAAATCGGTTAACCGCGGCGGGCAAAGCCGCCCGCCGCGGTTAAGCCACGATTTACCGTGGCCTCTAGGCCATGGCGGACGGCTTTGCCCGCCGCGGGAAACCGAAAACGCCCGTCTCCAGTAAAGTTTGTGTAGTAGTGATTATTGCTACTCCGGAACAGAGTGTTTTTCTTTTAAACCTACTAGAAGATTGTTCTCCTATCTAGATTGTTATTCCCGTGAACTATAATTATTTTTATTTTTTATTTATTTCTCATCTTCTTCTTATCTTTATTTATTTATTTCAATTGGTTTCTTTTACATTCCACTCCTTGAATAGAATATTATTTTTCTATAAAGCAAGAATACTGTAGTCTTGAAACTGGAATATTATTCTCCCGAATATTGTCCTAACTAAACTATTATTCACTCAACCATAATTTTATTTCTATTCATTACTTCATTTATTTAACTTTTTACACCATGTGTGGAATATTGTTCTATGGATCTAAAATATTATTTACTTGAATCTGGAATATTATTTTCCTACAAATGGAGTATTGTTGCTTTGACCTTGAATATTTTTTCACATACTAGAATACTATTGTCCTAAATTTGGAGTTTTATTTTTTCTAACTTGAAATATTACTAATTTCCTAATCTAGAACGTTTATTATTTCCATTGCTTTTTTCCGCTTCCTACAACTGAACCAGAATATTTATTCTCGTGATCTTGAATATTGTTCTTTTGTTCTTAGAATGTCATTCACATGAACCTACTATTTTATTCTTCTCAATCAGAAATATTATTCTCCTCCAACATAATATTATTTTTCCAAACATAGAATGTTTTTTATTGAAACTGGAATATTTTTTTGAGAGTACATGGAATATTGTTCTCCAAGCTGGACCATGACCTTCACGAATCAAAATTTTATTTCCAGAGATTCTTATTATGTCTTGAACATAGAATATTGTTCCTCAATTTCAAATATTATTCTGCTAAACCCAGGCCCTGTTTGGATCCATATAGAAAATAACTATCTGCTAATAGTTACCTCTTTTAGATAAACAGGTGCAACTAATAAAATAGGTAATTGATAGCTAGACTTCTAGATAATAACTATCTCATTTGTTGGATCAAATCAGATAGTAGTAGCTAATAGTTATCTTAGTAGCATTTTTCATTAGTTATGCATCCAAACACCCTCTAACTAAAAGTTAGCTAACAGTTAACTAGTTAATATTAGATATGAGCTATTAGCCAGCTAAATCCAAACAGGGCCTTAGATATTAGGTGTGTGTTTGGTGGGTGCCATTTAAAAACCGAGCCCAAATTTGGCATTGTCAATGTTTTGTCACCAAGTTAGTGGCCATGGATTTGGCAAGCTTTGGCTACTAAAAGTGAGTTAAGACGGCCAAAGGAGACGGGTGCCAACTGCCAAGCCAAAATTTGGCATCCAACTAAACGATGGGCAAAATGGGTACCTTAAATGGCCAAACTTTGACTTAGCTAGCTTGGGCACTATACTAAACGCACCCTAAAACTAACCACAATCGCAGAGAAGCACACAGGTGGCTGGCTATTGCTTGCGGCCAGGCTTCAGACCATTCAGACTGTAGTTGGCTGTACTGTGCATGCTTAAGATGGTTGAGCTGGTTCAGTTCGAATTTGAAGCCATTAATAGTGCTAACCAAAACCATTAGCCACGGCCTGTACGCCTCAAGCTCTCAGCGCAGCAGAAGGCAATAATGAAGCCGACACAAGAAGGCCCGCGGCCTGCAGTTGAGAGGACGACGGCACGTGGTTGGAGGAGACCTTGATCTGTGCGGCCACCGAGTCGAGTCGTCGGTATCCATTCACCGGCGAAGCAGAGTGCATGCGCATGGTAAATCGGCAATCGCTGACATGGCACATGGCCTGCATCAGTGACATGTCTGAAACGATGCCTGTTTCTGCATCGATGTTCCGTGACGCCATTGAATATTAACTCGGCAGTGTCCTCCTGTCCATTGGAGGTTGCTCTAGAGAGTGAATCGGCGAGGGTGAGCTCTACACCGAGCCAGCATGCAGTGTCCTCCAACTTGAAGCCTTGCCATCGCCGCCACCACAGTAGCAGTAGGACTACGAATCCACTACGCTCACATCTGAAGCAACAAAGAGAGGAAGCATGAGTGTGGTGACGGGGGCGCTGGGAAGCCTCGCCCCCAAGCTTCTTCAGCTGCTCCATGGTGAGTACAAGCTCCAAAACTGGACCGGCACTTGCCTTTTTTCTTTCATTGTCTAATAGAAATCGCGGCAAAGCTTTTACCGTCCTTTCTAAAAAAATGTCAAACGTGGAGACTAAAAGGCGACTAAGGCCCTGTTTCGTTCTACGGACTCAAAAAGACTAAAGACCATTAAGGTAGATAAATAAAGACCAAAATACCCCTACTTCTCTTGCCTAGCCACGCCGAGGAATGGGCACGCAGCGCCACTCCCTCCCGAGCTCCGTCTCACCGACAGCTGCACGTGCGCCCGGGGAGGGGCGCCGCCGCGGGCCGTGGTGGGGAGGGGGCGCCGAGATGTCGGAGGTGGGGAGGGGCCGCCGAGATGCCGGAGGTGGGGAAGGGGCACCGGGATGCCGGAGCTGGCCGCCGTCTCCGCCGCAGCCACGAGCTCACCACCATCTCGTTGCGCGCCGGGATGGTGGAGAGCGGAGGCGGGCGCCTCCACGCTGTCAGATCCAGGGAGAGAAGACGCCGTCGCCGATGCTTGGAGGAAGGGCTCACCGCACCGCCATAGCCTTCCCCGTGCACGGCCGTGAGCTCCAGGGGCCGCGAGCTCCTTGTTCGCCGTCGCCGTCGCTCATAGCCTCGTCGCACGGTCACTATCGGTGCTCTAGGCCGTGGCGGCGCACGCTACAGCGGACAGACGCGGATGGTCCCGACAATAAAAGAGGAGAGAGATAAGGGCATGGTTTGTCAACTTGGCCTAAGGGTCCCAAATAGCCATCCCTCAAGGACTACAGCCCAAACGTCTTCTAGTCGCTTTAGTAGTTCATGTGTTCGAGAAAGTAGGGACTATTTGAGACTAAAATGGGCTCGGTAGTCTCTAGCCCCATTTAACCAAACAGGCCCTAAAGTAGTTCAATCCCCTTTAGTCCTCGAGGGGTGACTAAACTTTAGTCGAGTGACTAAACTTTAGTCCAGTAACAAACAGGGCACAAGTTAAGTCAGAATTTTCCTCTCTTTTGTTTTTGCATTTTTCTTTTTTTGAGGTTGTGGGTTGCAATTAAAGCCCTACCTTTTCAGATGCTTAATTAATTATTCATTTCAGATTGTACTGAAGCTTTCCTCCAATCTGAATTTCGTTACGTATTTGGAGATGCTAAAAATTTCAGACCACCTCTGTTAATAAAATTCCTTGTCTTCTGAAATTATTTTTGTATTAGTAACATGTGGTTTCCCTTAAAATATTATTTTTGGAGACGCTTCCAATTTCAGACCACCTCTGTTAATAAAATGTAAAATTTTAATATGGAAAAATATGGATCATTCATTGGGCGAGATCGGACGGTGTAAAAATAAGAGGTACCTAACTGAAAGTACCTGGAGGTACCAAATTGGTGGGGGGTAATACCAACTTAGGTCGAACCAGTACCAAAATATGTAGAGCAATATCTATTTTTCATTTTTTTTTCAAATATGGGTAATCGGTCATTTTAGTACTGTCATTCAAGGTAAAAAATGGGATAGCTTCTCGATGAGATTGTATTTGAAGACATTTCTTCTTTAATTTTGAAAGGGAAAAAGGGCCTATATGATGTCATCGTGACATCATGGCCCAGTCCGGCGTTAGGCACGCCAGGCGGCTTCGCGCCCTCCGCTCCCTGACCGCCACATATACGCTCCCAGGGTTCCTCGGTGCTGAACGGTTGACGTGCTTGCTGTTAACTTTCTTTGGATCGACTAGAGTAGATCTAGGCGGATGAACTCATAGATCCATGAAACACATGCACATTTAGACCTATAACACTACACCGAGAGGGAGATAGGGGAGAGAGGACTGGTGATGAACCTGAGCCTCCAGATGATGTCGTACTGTGCTAGCCATCGCGGGTTCGGTGATGGAGGCAAGACACACGGGCAGGCATGACGGGTGGAGTAGAGGTTGCGCGGACGTCGATAAAGACGGCTGAGGCGAGGTGGTGATGATGCGGCGGCGAGGATCGGTGGAGCTTCCCGTCGGTCGCTGCGCCCTCTCGAGATCGGTCTAGGGTTTTTGTCGGTGGGTTTGCGGCTCACGGTGAACCTCGTACCTTGAGCCGCCGGCCCCACCTCTTTATATAGCGCTTGATCGACGAGGGCCCACCAACCATGTAGGGTTGGGCGCCCCGATCGTATGCGAGACCAAGGCCCAATAGGCCGTTGGGCTTATTAGTCGGAGATCAATCTAACATTCTCCCCTTGATCTCACTATTACTTTTATCTTTAAACTTTAAACTTCAATCCTTTTATCCTTACTCATTTCTTCACAGATGATGCATAGAGCATGTCTCATCGTCACGGTCAATCGCCGATAGATTTAATGACTACGATGCACGTCTACGATCTGAAATAGTTACTTTAACTTTTGGGCCCTTTATAGTCCAGAGTCATAGGCTTTCCCTTAAACCCATGCCGCTACATGTTCTCTCGAACACGTTGGGCGGTAAGCCTTTGTATAGCAGATCCATGAGCATCTTTTCGGTACTTATATGCTCAAGACTTATCATCCGATCCCGGACTTTATCCTTCACAACATAATACTTTATGTCAATGTGTTTGGCAGCACCACTTGACCTATTGTTGTGAGCATCTTTGCATCTTCTTTGATTATTATCGCAGATATAACCTCGATGGTCTATTGATGTCGTCAACCACCTTCAAACCGGGTATGAACTTCTTTAGCCAGTTCACCTGCCCCGTTGCCTCATAACATGCTACAAACTCGGCATACATTGTGGACGATGTAGTGACGGTTTGCTTTGAGCTTTTCCATGAAATAGCTCCCCCTGCGAGAGTAAACACATATCCAGACGTGGATTTTCTATTATCTCCCGCATAGTCAGAATCTGAATATCCCACTATATGGAGTGAATCAGATCTTCTATACGTCATCATGAGGCCTTTTCGTTTCCTTGCAAATAACGCAAGACTTTCTTTACCAATTTCGAGTGTTCTATTCGAGTTGATTGCTCGAATCGCTTAAATAACCCGGTAACAAATGCCAAGTCGTATGTAGCGTACACACTTGAGCATATTGCAAGCTTCCGACAATTTGAAGCATATGGAACCACTTTCATTTGATCGATCTCATATTGGTTCCTAGGGCATTGAAAATCCCCATATCTGTAAGCCCTTGACTATAGGAGCGGTGAGGGACTACATTTGTGCATCTTGAATTTCTTTAAGACTTTTTCTATGTATGCCTTTTGTGTGGGTCCTAATACCCTTTACTTCTATCTCGGTGAATCTCGATCCCTAGAACGAACGAAGCTTCACCAAGATCTTTCATATCAAACTTTGAGGACAAAAACTTCTTTGTTTCCAGTGAGTAGACCTGACATCACTACTAGCAAGTAAGATATCATCCACATACAGGACAAGGAAGATAAACTTCCCATTCTTAAACTTTTGCGTGAGACACAATTGTCCTCAACATTATCTTTAAACCCAAAAATTCTTTATTGTGCGATCAAACTTCAAGTACCCTTTGTCTTGAAGCTTGTTTTAATCCATAAATGGATTTCTTTAGGCGGCATCCCAAGCGTTCTTTTCCTTCTATGACAAAACCTTTTGGTTGTGCCATGTAAACATTTTCTTCTAAGTCTCCGTTGAGAAATGCCGTCTTTACATCCATCGATGTAATTCCAAATCGTAATGTGCCACTAATGCCATTATGATTCGAAGGAATCCTTACACGAGACCGGAGAAAAAGTCTCATTGTAATCAATCCTTCTCTTTGTGTAAAGCCTTTTGCCACAAGTCGGGCTTTATATCTTTCTATATTCCCTTGAGAGTCAAGTTTTGTTTTGTAGACCCATTCTGACCCTCTTTGTTTTGGCTCCTTTAGGAATTATCTCCAAATCCCAAACTTTATTTGCATTCATTGATCTCATCTCATCTTCCATGGCCTCAAGCCACTTTGATGAATGATCACTTTTCATGGCTTCTTCAAATGAGGTGGGATCATCCCCATTTGAAATTTCTTGATGTTGTACACTTCATAATCAGCAGTGAAATAGCTGATTTTCTAACTCTTTGAGACCTTCTAGGGCCTCCTCAATTGGCACATTTTCATTTGAGGTTGTTGTTGCTCCCCCTCATGTGTGGCAATAGGTTCTATAGGATCTGAGCCATGGGTTCCTCATCATCATTCATTGTTGCCACACAGGCGGGATAACAACAGTCTTTGGCACCACAGTTGTCTTGTCTTCACAGTGCAAACAACAAAGCAGTAGTGAGAAAAATGGCTCATGAATGATCGGAGTGGGTGCATACACCCGCTTCTCTTCAAGGTCAATTTCTCGAGCTACCATGCTCCCCTAATCATTTCATCCTCTAGGAAGACAAAGCATGTCTCGCTTCCACAAACTTTGTATGTATCATTAGGGACGGTAGAAACGAAAACCTTTTGACTTTTTACGGGTAGCCAATGAAATGGCAACTCACCTGCATTTTGGGATCTAGCTTCCCAATGTTTGGGTTAAAAACTTTAGCCTCAGTAGGGCTCCCCCACACACGCAAGTGGTTAAGTGAGGGTACTCTTCCCGTCCACAACTCATACGGTGTTTTGGGCACCGACTTACTTGGTACTCTATTGAGAATATGAATGGCGGTTTTAACGCCTCCATCCTGAACTCGTGGGTAAAGTGGAGTAACTTATCATACTACGCACCATATCCATCAAGGTACAGTTACGCCTTTTTCACTACTCCATTCTCATCGAGGTTCGCCCGGTGTTGAAATCTTCGGGCGACTATACCATTCTCTGTAAGAACCTTGCAAAAGGTCCAGAACTTGTCCATATGGGGTATGCCGAACCGTAGTACTCTCCTCCACGGTCAGACCTGACTATCTTAATCTTTAAATCATGCTGATTTTCAACTTACGCTTTAAATATTTTAAATTTATCCAACGCTTCGTTTCTTTCTTTAATTGGATAAATGTAGCCAAACCGAGAGTAATCGTCTGTGAATGTTATGAATGAATCATAACCATCCACACTTTTCACAGGAAAAGGACCACATATGTCTGTGTGAATAATCTGTAGAATTCCTGCGCTTCGTTTGGCATCTTTCTTAATTTTCTTTACATACTTTCCTTTTATGCAATCTCTACATTGTTCTAACTCTGAGAGCTCTAATGGAGGAAGAATATCATTCTTAACTAGTCTTTCTATTCTCCCCCTCGAAATATGGCCTAAACGACAGTGCCATAATTTCGACAACGCATCTTGAGCTCTCTTTCGTTTTCTGTTTCCATTGTTCGATGATGATACATTTTCATTCACATCACATACGGAATTAACATTTTCACGAAGTGATAACAAATAAAGCTCGTCTTGTCGGAAGGCAAGACCAATACATTTATTATTAAACAATATCTGACATTTGCCATTTCCAAAATGGCAATCATAACCATCATGGTCCAACTTTGAAACACTAATCAAATTTTTTGCAAAGAAGGTACATAAAGAACGTCTCTAAGAATAATTATGAAGCCATCAGCAAGCTCTAACGGAAGATCACCAACGGCCTCAACATCTGCTTGTTCTCCATTTGCGACTTTAATGAAACTTTCGCTTCTTTGCAAAGTTCTCATCGAACGGAATCCCTGTAATGAATTAGCAACATGAATAGTTGCACCTGAATCAATCCACCAAGTAGATTTTGAAAACTTTACATACAAGGATTCATTTACGAACGTAATAATGTTCTCACCTTTATTCTTCATAATCATCTTTAAGAAATCGGGACAATTCTTTTTATAATGTCCTGTCTTCTTGCGATGGAGACACCGGTCTTTAGCCACTTTGGGAATTCTTTGGTTACGAGGTATTGCATGGGACCTTTTCCATATGATTTGGAGGAAGAACTGTTATTATAGTTCTTTTTCTTATCTTTTAGGTAGTTGATGTAACCACCTTGTGAAACTTTTATTCTTTCCTCCTCCTGCACACACATGGCTATGAGCTTTTCCAAATCCCATTTTTCAGGCTGTATGTTGTAATTAACAACAAATGTGTCAAATTCTTTGGGCAAAGAAGCAAAAATCAAATGAATAAGAAACTCATCCTTGAGTGCCAAATCCATTGGTTTGAGCTTAGATGCCAGATTGCTCATTCTCAGTATGTGCTCTCTAATGCCACTGCCGTCACCAGAGTACCTTTCTGTGACCAGCTGCTTGATCAGCTGGGTTGCATATGTCTTTGAAGAGCCAGTGAACTGACTCTTTATTCTGTCTAGGTACTCTGTGACCGTGTCACAGTCTGGAATTGAGCCCACTATAGCAGGCTCAATCGTGTTCTTTATCACTGCCAGACACTTCTTGTTGGCAGTGACCCATTTCCTATGCTCAAGGTCATATGACATCTTTACGGGAGCAAAATCCCGCTCTCTGTTCTGCCATGCAGTATCAGTCTCATCTGTTTCCCTTACCGGTGCCTCAGGTTCTTTAGGGCACGGTGTGGTGACAACCCAGTCCACCTCAGCGAGGATAAAGGCCAGGTCTATCTTTTTCTTCCACTCAATATAGTTATCACCTTTTAGAGTGGGGATTTCTTTGATACAACTCATCAAGTTGTATCCTCCCCGAAAAACATAATTCAAATAGGGTGAGAACAGAAATAACAACAATAATTGCATGCCTTAGTTTAACGTTGGTCAAAATTAAAACATACAATTATTTTCTACACTAATTCTACATCACCGTTGGGCAGAAATAGAATTAATGTATAACAAAAAACATTATAATATTGTCATTAATCAACGTTGGTCAGAATAACAACAACATTATAATCAATTTAAAACATATCCATTTTCAAAATTAAATTCTCCCGTTGGTTCGAATTTAATAATGAAAATTACATCTTTAAATACGCAATGAAACTTTAACATTTAATAATCTTTTCCTATTTTCCGAAGCAAATTTACTATTTATTGAACAAAAATATCGTTGGATAAATTTTGTATACGAAAATTATCATAAAAAAACAATTCAAATTGATCAAACTGCTTGCTCGGAAAATAAGAAAACAAAACTCGCGGACAATATCATTCATTTGACCATTTCGCCTTGCCCCAAAGACATCGCTGCCCACGGCACGGCTTGCTTGTGTGCTGCTACAATGCCAAATAAACCGCCCAAGAGTCGCTGCCCATCCAGCCTTCAGTGGCAGCCCCAGCCTTGAATGGCGGCGAGCTCTCTCCCCCGCGCCCAGGCCGCAACCTGGGCCTGGGCCGGGATTTCGGCCTTGTGCCCTATCCCGCCTGGGCTGCGGCGCTGGCCCAGTCGCCCGTGGCCGTCCATCTCCATCCGACGGCTGCCCACGCGCGTCGCGAGATCAAAACCCCAGCGACCGGCGCGGCGCCCTTGACCTAGCATCATTCGGCTCGCTCTCTCTCTCTCTCTCTTCGCCCCTCTCTCCTCACCACTCAGTCCCGCCGCAGCAGAAACCGAGCGAGGAGCTTCGACGGCGAGAGAGCTCAGCAAGCCCCGGCGCCGTCTCCGGCCCCCTCGCCGGCGTGCGCGCTCCCCAGTGGGTGAACGCGCCGCCGTCGAGCGGCCTGGTCGCGGCGCCCTAGTGGCCGTTCCGGCGAGCAGATCACCCCCGGCCGACCCTTTCTTTTCCCCGCGCGGCGGCATGCACGACGGTGAGGTGAGCCGTGCCGAGCCACCCTCTTTCTTTTCTTTCCCCTTTCTATTTCTTTGATTCGGATTTGGCCCGATTTTCAGATTAGGGTTAGGGTTTGCTTTTCCGATTTGAAATCGGTTCTTTTCCCCTTCTCAGTCAATCACCGAGCGGGTTAGGGTATGGGTTGGAGACGGCACTGTTTTCTTTTTCCCCGAATCACCTTCGGGTTTTAGGGTTCGTTCTTTGCATGAAAACCGAGCCCTTCTTTTCTCAGATCCGACGGATCGAGTTAGGGTTCAACCGAACGTCGGGTGACCCCTTTTTTTGCTTAGATCCACACTGGATCTAATCAACTTTTCTTTTTCTAATCGGTACCCGTTCTAGATCTACGTGCTAGTAGGCTCTGGTACCATTGTTAACTTTCTTTGGATCGACTAGACTAGATCTAGGCGGATGAACTCATAGATCCATGAAACACATGCACATTTAGACCTATAACACTACACCGAGAGGGAGATAGGGGAGAGAGGACTGGTGATGAACCTGAGCCTCCAGATGATGTCGCGGCTGTGCTAGCCATCGCGGGTTCGGTGATGGAGGCAGCACACGGGCAGCGACGGGTGGAGTAGAGGTTGCACGGACATCGATGCAGTACGGTCGGGCGTAGCAGTGGCGACGGCGAGGATCAGTGGAGCTTCCCGTCGCTGGCTGCGCGCCCTCTCGAGATCGGTCTAGGGTTTTGTCGGTGGGTTTGCGGCTCACGGTGAACCTCGTACCTTGAGCCGCCGGCCCCCACCTCTTTATATAGCGCAGTGCGACGGGGGCCCACCAACCATGTAGGGTTGGGCGCCCCCGATCAGGGCGCGAGACCAAGGCCCAATAGGCCGTTGGGCTTATTAGTCAAGAGATCAATCTAACACTTGCTCCTGCTCGCTCGGGCGGCACCTAGCACCTCGACGAGCCGCTCCCGCTTCACCTCAGGCTCCGGCAATGGCGGTAGCAGCTTGGCCGTGCCGCGGAGCAGGCCGTCCAGCTTCTCGAGCTCGAACAGGAACTTGACAGTGGTCCTGAGAACAGCCATGGCATGCTAGCCGCCGTCCGTGCCCTCCGGTGTGTTGCGCTCCGCCAGTGAGGCCACCTTCAAGGCCGCGTGTGCCATGGCCAGGTTACATCTACTTTCAGAAGGGCGCAACCTCAATTACTAAAATATCCTGTATAATATATTTCTCAATTAGTTACTTAGAAAAAGAAAAAGATGAAAGCACCTGGAGGTATACGATGGTACTTTTTCAACCCTTGTAAAAGATCTATAATAAAATCCCTCGTCTCCTAAAATCATTTTTGTACTAGTAGAATTTGTTTTGCTTAAAATATGAGTAAGATTTTGCCCCGTAGCTAAGAGATTTGGTAGCCGTTGGCAAGCAACGCACGCTTCTTCTTGTTCTATATATATTGCACTTGTTCAATCTTGAATCGTCTTTGAATTTTGATGGAGGTATGGAGAAAAAAAATCCTAAATACGATACATGCATTCAGAACTCTTAAAGTTTTGACCCAGTCATTGATCATCGTAAAGAATGAGAAAATTTTAGAGACAGCAGGTGGCTTGAATGGAATCGAGGTCGAGGATGGTCACGTGAGGTGACAGTGAGGTGTTCAGCCGCATGGATGCAAGCGCAGCGTCACATGGACGTATGTGCTACCAGCTTAGGTACCCGAGGCCCATCGATGGATGGCTGCCATAGTCCCCGGCTGCCTGGTTGCTTCTCTTCAGCTACTGCAGGCCTCCAACTAGACGCCTTGCCACCACCAACCTCCAGACCAGTGCAATGAATCCACCGCACCCAGATCTGAAGCAAGTAAGGGAAGAAGCATGAGTGTGCTTGACAGGAGCGCTGGGAAGCCTCGGCCCCAAGCATCTGCAACTGCTCTAGGACGAGTACAAGCTCCAGAAGGGCGTGAGGAAGCAGGTGCAGTGGCTCCACAGTGAGCTGGAGGGCATCCACACCTTCCTCTGCAAGGTCTCTGATGTGCAAGCCACTCGAGGTCAGGGAGGCATCTTACGACATGGAGGATGTCCTTGACACTTTCCTTGAGCGCGTCGATGGGCGTCGATGCCGCCGAGCTCAGCAGGCTGAAACGCGCCATGAAGAAGATGGGTAAAGTGTTCGGCAAGGCCAAGGCTCGTCGCAATATTGCTGGTGCCATCGAAGACATCAAGAAGCATCTCGAGGAGGTAGCCGAAAGGCGTCAAAAGTACAAACTTGATGACATTATGTGCAAGCCACTCGCAACAACGTCAACTATTGATCCTCGCCTTAAAGCTATGCAACTTATTGGCGTCGACAAGTCAAGGGATGAGCTCGTATCCATGCTGATGACGTTGCAACCAGATGATGGTACCTCGAACCAGGAGATGAGAAGCTTAAGTCACAGTATGACTGCGGGGCTTTCATTTCAATTGGTCGGGATTATGACTTGGTCAAAGTTTCCATGGATATTCTCTTTCATCTTGATGGTGAAAAGCATAAGGACATTCACAACACTCGAAGAGGCCTCGAGCTCCTCATTCACCAACTTCGAGAATTCCTGAAGAAAAAGAGGTAACACAGACACTCAATTGTAAATTGTAATTAGCCAGTGCCTTTTAAGATATTGCTCCACAGTTACTCGATGCTACATTATGTTGTAGGTTATACTAAAAATGTTATCTCCACATCATTTATGTCAGACTACTTCTTGAGATTGATTTTCTGCACTCCATGCATACAAGAAATGCATTTATCCAGTCAGTGACGAAGCCAGAAAAAAATTTAGGAGGGGCTGAAACAAAAGAATAGAGGTTTTTTTATCTTCTCTTAACCTTAGCCCCTCCTACCTAATACATATATGCATAAAATTTTAAGGGAGGGCTTAAGGGGGCTCCACGTGCGCAGGATGGGTAGGGGGGGCTAAAGCCCCCCTAGCCCCACCGCTGGCTTCGTGCCTGTATCCAGTAGTCTCTACCTAACAGCTTCTAGCTCATTTTTTAAGTATGTTGCTTTTAGACTACTATAAAAGGGCAATGCATTTAGCACTTCTAAACATCATAGTTTAAGTAAATTCGTAAACATTTCCAATTATGAATCGAGCTTAGATTTTGAAAACGTGTTTCATATCTGATACTATAAATCTTAGGAAAAACACATTTTTAGGGTGTCACCTATGTTTGCAACATGCCGATAGATGTTCTGTATAATAAATTAACTTCTTACATATGTAGTTTTCTTCAAATAGGCCCTTTTGTGTGTAGTTTCCATAAATATCACAACCAGAATTCCGAATTACCTTGAGTACCAAAAAACGCAAAGGAAAATACTAGAACCGCAAAGGAAATAATCCTTGAACATTAACCATCAAGCAAATTCCGTCATGCATTTTATTTTTATTAGCGCGATCATGTGTTTTATGTGTCAAGCGGACTTCTTTTAATCATAGCAAATTTCTTGCTTCTGCAGAAGGTCAAACTTTACTAACCAATGGTTCTTCCACTTTGGTGTGGATATGTATTTTATTGTTTTTGATGATGTATGGGAGGTACGCACTTGGGAAGCAATCGAACCAGCGCTGGTTGAGAATAATCTTGGAAGTAAAGTAATCACAACTACTCGTAATTTTGATGTTGCCAAAGCATCTGGTAAGGTTTACAAGCTAAAGCCACTTTCCTATGATGACTCCATGAAATTATTTTATACAAGGTTATCTGGTGCAGACCGAAAGTTCCATGAAATTTCTGAGAAAATTCTAAAGAAATGTGCTGGTATACCATTAGCAATCATCACAATGACTAGTTTGTTGGCTGGTAAACCAGAGTGTGATTGGTCAATGGTCTACAACTCTATTGGTTTGGACACTGGAGGCAATACGGAAGCTGAAGATACTATGACAATACTCTCATTTAGCTACTATGATCTCCCTCCAGATTTGAGGACATGCTTACTATATCTAAGTACATATCCAGAAGAATACGAGATCAAAAAGGATTCTTTGATATGGAAATGGATAGCCGAAGGATTTATCAATCCAGATCGAGGAAAAACATTATTTGAGCTTGGAGAAAGATACTTCAATGATCTCATTAATAGAAGCTTGCTGATCAAGGTAGTGGAGGCATGGGATGGCAGAGTATCAGGCTGTCGTATTCGTGATATGGTTCTTGATATATATGATTCGTAAGCTTGCATTTGAGGAAAACTTTATTGCTCTGTTAGGTGATAATATTGAAGCAACGGCTGGACGAAGCAGCAACGTTCCCAGGCATGGGCGCGGCCACCTGGCCGCTGCAGGCGCACGCGGGCTTAGTCGGCCGCCAACGTCCCTGGAGCCACAGATCCGGCCGCGGCCACTACATGCTGGCGCGGGACGCGGGCACGGTCCCGTCGGCCATGAGCCAGGCGCGGGTGGGACCCAGGCTAGACCAATCTGTTTACGGATGAGAATTGGGTGACATGGTTAAGCTAATGACGCTTATTTGGTATAAAAAAAATTAGTATTTTAATATATTTGGTTAAACTTGAAATTGTTTCACGTGTCAAAATATGAGACCTGCACTTCTTTCAGCTGGAGAAAGTGCATACTAAAAAAGTTACTGACAGCGTGCAGTGGCTGCTCATTCAAGTACATAAATGCTGCGGAACACAAGTTGCAGTGCAGGGCTTAATAATATATTGTTGGCATAGTGCTGACGATGATAGAAACTTCGATGTGTGAATGTGTGATGAGCATTCACGGGACTGAATTTATTCAGTCTGATGGTGAAGTCTCCTCCTAAACAGTGTTTCTATCTGACTTAGGCCTTGTTTAGATTGGAGTTAGGAATCAGTATTTGGCACTGTAGCACTTTCATTTGTATTTGACAATTATTGTCTAATCATGGTCTAACTAGGCTCAAAAGATTCGTCTTGTAATTTACAATCAAACTGTGTAATTAGTTATTTTTTTATCTACATTTAATACTCCATGCATGTGTCCAAATATTTGATGTGATGGAGAGAGAGTGAAAAAACTTGTAATCTAAACAAGTCCTTAATTGGCTTGCGTGTGAACGAGATCCAGTGCGATGGATCAGCGTGAGAAAAGCGTATGAACGAACTGACAAAGGCTGAAAAGCTGCTGCTTAAACGCATTGCTTGTCCGAGTACTGAGCATCAAAATGCATATATATTCACACTACGCTCTTGGTGTACCATTTTGTTGCTGCAGTACAGTCAATCCATTGATCGGACAACATGTACCCGCTTCCCAGCCTTCTTCAATCCATTGGTTCGAAGGTGCCGCTACCCTTGCGGCTTCATTGCAGTGCAGGCACGCTCGACGCAACCAGAAAATTAAGTGAGCATAGGCGTGCCACCTGCAGGGGGATATTGTCAGGATGGAGCCTGTTGGAGTTGTTCCAAATTCACTCCAGGATATAGGCCGGGCTTCTGACGGAGCGAAGCGGAGGTCCGTCGCCGGAGGCTTGGGTCGGAGCGTAGCGGAGTCTGAAGCCGGCCCATCAGGTATCGCCCCTGTGCTCGGGGGGTGCTGGGGGCGGAGCCCCCGCGGTACGGTACGGTATATACACCCTTGCTAGGGTTTCGTGGAGACTTGATTCTCTTGTAAGCCGCTATAGACGTGTAACCCAAAACTGATTGTTGCTGGCTGGTGCCCGTGGTTTTCCCCCTTCACATCGGAGGGTTTTTCCACGTTAAATCGTGTGTCTCCTCTGTGGTTTGATTCTTTACTTCATATTCCTATACGTCGTTCATAACAAGTGGTACCGGAGCTTTGGTTGCTGTTAGGGTTCATGACGACGTCGATGAAGTTCGATCTTCCGCTGCTGAACTACGACACGCGGTTCTCGCTATGGCAAGTCAAGATGCGGGGGATTCTGGCGCAGACTCATGACTATGATGAGTATTTGGATAGTTTCGGAAAGAGGAAGGCCGAGTGGACTCGGAAGAGATCCGCAAGGATCGAAGAAGCGCTTCGCCCTAATTCGGGATTGCATCTTCATAATGATATTTTGCGAGAGTGTCCAAAGAGAAAAGCTGCTGCAGAACTATGGGTCAAACCGGAATCGATCCGTATGTCCAAGGATCTAACCAAGAAGATGCAAATGAAGATGAAGCTGTTCACCACGAAGATGAAGGAGGAGGATTCGGTGATGAGCCACATCATGAATTCAAGAAGATCGTCGCCGACCTAGTGTCGATGGAGGTGAAGTATGATGATGAGGACTTAGGTCTTTTATCGCTATGTTCTTTGCCAAATTCGTATGCAAAATTTTTCGTGACACCATACTTTTTGAGCCGTGATGAACTAACCCTAAAGGAAGTTTATGAGGCTCTCTAGTCTAGGGAGAAGATGAGAGGCATGGTGCGAGAATGACGGACGTTGTCCTCCAAGGGCGATGCTTTGCATGTGAGAGGCGAGAATCGAAAAGCAGATCCTCCAATGATGACAATGATGGTAGAAAGAACTACGAAAGGAGAGGCCGTTCAAAGTCCAAGCCGCATGGTAATAAAAAGTTCTGTATTTATTGCAAGCTGACAAATCATAATGTTTAGGATTGCGTAAAAGTATGAGAATAAGGAGAAGAGGGAAAACAAGTCGGTACCGGTAAGGTCTCATTCGTTGTCATTGCTGCGTCGATGATGATTTCGGAGATTATCGGTAGTATTTTCTTTGGTTGTGTTCTTTGGTCATGATGAATGGATTCTCGATTTCGCATGTTCATTTCATATTTGCACTAACGTAAATTGGTTTAGCTCGTATAAGCTTCGTGCAGAAAAGGGATGTTGTGCGGATGGGAGATGATAACCCGTGTGATATTGTGGGAATTGGATCGATTCAGATCAAGACCGATGATGGCATGACACGACGCCGAAAAAACGTCGGTATATACCGGGGATGTCCGTAAATCTTATCTCATTGAGCACGCTTGATGCGTAGAAGGTTACAAATATTCCGGTTCGGATGGCGTTACTCAAGGTATCAAAAGGTTCTCTTGTTTGCTTGAAAGGTGATCTTAATTCGCAAAGTTATATGTCCTTAGAGGGTGTACTTTACCCGGTTACGATTCACCATTGTCATTGTTACTAATGATAAACCTAGTAAAACTAACCTTTGGCATATGCGTTTGGGACATATGAGTCACCATGGTATGGCAGAATTGATGAAGAGAAACCTGCTGGATGGCTGCACTTCGAGTAAAATAAAGTTTTGTGAGCATTGTATTTTTGGGAAGCATAAAAGGGTACATTTCAATACTTCTGTTCACACCACTAAAGGTACTCTTGATTATGTTCATGCTGATTTATGGGGTCCTTCCCGTAAGTCCTCACTTGGTGGTGCTCGTTACATGCTTACAATTATTGATGATTACTCTAGAAGGGTTTGGCCTTATTTTCTAAAACAGAAAGATGATACTTTTGCTGCTTTTAAGGACTGGAAAGTAATGATAGAAAGGCAAACTGAAAGGAAGGTAAAATTACTTCGTACTGATAATGGTGGAGAATTTTGTTCGCGTGAATTTAATGATTATTGCAGATCGGAAGGCATTGTTAGGCATCACACCATACCCCATACTCCACAACAGAATGGTGTGGCCGAATGCATGAACAGAACTATCATGTCCAAGGCCCGTTGCATGCTGTCTAATGCCAGGATGAGCAAGCATTTTTGGGTGAAGTCGCTAATATCGCTCGTTATTTGATAAACAGGTCGCCTTCTATTCCACTAAATAAAAGAACTCCCATTGAGGTATGGTCTGGTACGTCTGCTGATTATTCATAGTTGAAAGTGTTTGGATGCACTGCTTATGCTCATGTTGATAATGGAAAATTAGAGCCTAGAGCTGTTAAGTGTCTTTTCCTTGGTTATAGTTCGGGAGTCAAAGGCTATAAATTGTGGAATCCTAAAACAGGAGAAAGACTTTTATGAGCAGGAGTGTTGTTTTCAATGAATCTGTGATGTTTCTTGACAGCTTTGCCCTCAGATCATGTTCCAGAAAAAGAGTCTGCAGCAGATGCGCATGCTGGTGGAGCATGTTGATGATGATCTGAGGTGTCTGGTGGAGCTCTGTTGATGAGCATGGTGACCATGATAATGATGTTCTTGAGGATGATGCTCATGATGATGTTGACAAACTCCTCCTATTTTGCCATTAGAGGAGGATTTACCTATTGCTCAACGCAAGTCAAAAGGACAATTGCACCTCCTAAGCGTCTTATTGAAGAGTGTAATTTGTCTTACTATGCTTTGAGTTGTGCTGAATAGGTGGAGAATGTTCATGAGCCAGCAACCTATAAAGAAGCTATTCGTTGTGGTGATACTGAGAATTAGATTTCTGCAATGCATGAGGAGATGCAGTCTCTTGAGAAGAACAGTACATGGGAGATTGTACCTTTGCCTAAGAATAAGAAGACCATCAGCTACAAATGGATCTTCAAGAGAAAGGAGGGTTTATCTCCAAGCGAGCCTCCAAAGTATAAGGCAAGGTTAGTTGCTAGAGGCTACAGTCAAATTCCGGGTGTTGACTACAATGATGTGTTCTCTCCAGTGGTAAAACACAGTTCAATTCGTACTTTTCTTAGTATTGTTGCTTCACATGATCTTGAGCTTGAGCAGTTAGATGTGAAGACTGCGTTTTTGCATGGAGAGCTTGAGGAGGACATATACATGGACCAACCAGAAGGGTTCATAGTGCCTGGCAAGGAAAAATATGTGTGCAAGTTGAAGAGATCCTTGTATGGTTTGAAACAGTCCCCTCGTCAGTGGAACAAGAGGTTTGATTCATTTATGTTAGCACACAGTTTTAAAAGATCTAAGTATGATAGCTGTGTTTACATTAAGCATGTTAATGGATCACCTATATATTTCTTTGTTATATGTTGATGATATCTTTGATCATTGCCAAGAGTAAGATTGAAATCACTAAGTTAAAGAAGCTATTGAGTAGTGGTTTTGATATGAAAGATCTTGGTAGTGCTAAGAAAATTCTTGGTATGGAAATTAGTAGAGACAGAAAATCTAGTTTGCTATTTCTTAGTCAACAAAATTATATCAAGAAAGTTCTTTAGCGTTTCAACATGCAAAATACTAAGGCTGTTAGTACCCCTATTGCACCTCACTTTAAGTTGTCAAATTTGCTTAGTGCCCTAGTATGATGCGAGAGATTGAATACATGTCAAGGGTTCCTTATTCTAGTTTGTTAGGTCTTTGATGTATGCCATGGTTTGCTCTCGCCCGATTTATCATATGCTATGAGTCTTGTTAGTAGATATATGTCTAATCACGGCAAAGAACATTGGAGGGCAGTTTAGTGGATTTTCGGTACCTCGGAGAGGCACAAAGAGATTCTGTTTAAAGTTTGGAAGAACTGATAAGGGTCTTATTGGCTATGTGGATTCTCGATTATCTGCTTGATCCGACAAAGCGAAGATCACTTCTGAGTTATGTGTTTCTTGTTGGCGGTTGTCTTTGTGAGTTGGAGGCTACTTTACGATCGGCTTGTTGCTTTGTCTACTCTCAAAAGCAGAATATATGGCTATTTGTGAAGCGTGCAAAGAATTAATTTGGTGAAAGGTTTGTACACCGAGCTTTGTGGAGTTGAATCTTGCATAAGTTTGCAATTGTGATAGTCAAAGTGTAATTTACCTCACTAAAGATCAAATGTTCCATGAGAGAACTAAGCACATAGATATCAAGTATCATTTTGTGCGTGTGTGTGATTGAAGAAGGTAAGGTGAAGGTATGCAAGATTAGTACTCATGATAATCCTGCCGATATGATGACAAAGCTCGTTCTCATTGCTAAGTTTGAGCTGTGCTCAAGCTTAGTTGGTTTAATTGGATAGTCCAAGAGACTATTGTTGGCACCGATGGTTTTTCTATCTTTGTTATGTTCGGGATGAAGGGTTGATTTATGATACAAGATGAATTTGTCTCAATGTGGAGTTTGTTGGAGTTGTTCCAAATTCACCGGGATATAGGTAAGCTTCGACGGAGCGAAGGCGTCGTCACGGGAGGCTTAGGCGGGGCGTGGCGGAGTGTGAAGCCGGCCCATCGTATCGCCCACGTGCTTAGGGGGTGCGGGGCGGAGCCCTGTGGTAATCTGACTGTATATACACACCTTGCTAGGGTTTCGTGGAGACTTGATTCTCTTGTAAGCCGTCATAGACGTAACCCAAAATCGATTGTTCTTTGGTGGTGCCGTGGTTTTCCCCTTCACATCGGAGGGGTTTTCCACGTTAAATCATGTGTCTCCTCTGTGGTTTGATTCTTTACTTCATATTCCTATACGTCGTTCATAACAGAGCCAAGCCGTTATATCGTGCAGCCAAATTTAGGGCTAGTTTACTTCCAAAATTTTTGGCAAAATGGGTACTGTAGCGTTTTCGTTGTTATTTGGCAATTAGTGTCCAATCATAGTCTAATTAGGCTTAAAAGATTCGTCTCATGGATTTCGTCTAAACTGTGTAATTAGTTTTATTTTTTATTTATATTTAATACTTCATGCATGCGTCCAAAGATTCGATGTGACGGGGAATCTTGAAAAATTTGACGTTTTACAGAGGGGCAGACGTTTGTCCGCACTTGTGCGTCGTTCTACCAGCCACTCTGCTTCAATCGGACATATTTTATTGTAAGGAAACCACGTCCGGCGGCTGCGTGCTGCACAAGATACAGAGATTGGAATTGAGAGGAGGGAACCAAGAAAACAGACCAAGCCAAACACGGTATCGGATGAAGCACCTTGAGCAATTGCAGAGCGACTGATATTTGTCTCAGAGCGGACAGGATCTCTTGTGTAGAGCACATACCGCTTCCTTAGATGCCTGACATCATGTGCATAGGCTTTGACTTGCTGGATGTGGATGAACTTGTGCCACTCAGGACCAGATTTCCCTGCATGCCACTGCACTCAGATCTAACCCAAGACATCAACCGCGGTCTAAACTGAAGGCAATAATAGAGGACAGGGGCAGAGGTCCGCGCAGGCCAGCAAGTAAAGTCGTCGGCCCCCACTCACGGCGGAGCAGCATATGTTGTGCTCATCACTCATCAGTGCCATCTCTAAAGACACCTGCAGTCTCAGCGCGTGTTTAGTTGGACCCCAAATTTCAAAAAGTTGCTACAGTATCTGTCACATCGAATGTTTACGGTCTATTCATGGAGCATTAAATGTAGACGAAAAAAAAACTAATTGCACAGTTTGGTGGGAAATTACGAGACAAACGTTTTGAGCCTAATTAGTCTATGATTGAACACTATTTGCCAAATAAAAACGAACGTGCTACACTAGCCCCAAAATCCAAATTCGTGGAACTAAACAAGGCCTGAGCCTCAGATGCCAATGAGTTTTAACTCGGTAGTGTGAGCAAAGGTTGGCCTAGAGAGTGGATCGGCGAAGGTGGCAGCTCTCTACGCCCAGCCACCAGCAAGCATGCCTCGCTCCATCTAGAACCATGCCACCACCGCAGTAGCACTACGAAATCGCTACGCAAAGGTCTGAACCAACCAAGAGATCAAGAAACATGAGTGTGGTGACGGGGGCGCTGGGAAGCCTTGGCCCCAAGCTTCTTCAGCTGCTCCATGGTGAGTACAAGCTCCAGAAGGGTGTGAGGAAGCAAGTGGAGTCGCTCTCCCGCGAGCTGGACAGCATCTACCCTTTCCTCCACAAGGTCTCGGATGTGCCATGGGACCAGCTCGACGAGCAGGTCAAGTTGTGGGCGCGCGAGGTCAGGGAGGCATCCTACGACATGGAGGATATCATCGACACCTTCCTCGTTCGCGTCGACGGCGGAAAGAACAACTCCGACTCGAGCAGCCTCAAACTTGCCATGACGAAGCTGGGTGAGCTGTTCAGCAAGGCCAAGGCTCGCCGTGATATTGCAGCAAAGATCAAGGACATAACAAAGCGTCTCGAGGAGGTGGCCAACAATCGTCAGAAGTACAAACTTGATGAGATTATGTGCAAGCCACTCGCAGCAACGTCAACTATTGATCCCCGCCTTAAAGCTATGTACAAAGAAGTGACACAACTTATTGGCGTCGACAAGTCAAGCGACGAGCTCATGTCTCTGCTGAATCAATCCCAACAGGATCATGATGCCTCCGATAAGAAGATGAAGATGGTTTCAGTTGTGGGAGTTGGAGGATTGGGTAAAACCACTCTTGCCAGAGCGGTGTATGACAAGCTTAAACCACAATACGACTGCGGGGCTTTCATTTCAATCGGTCGGGATCATGACTTGGTAAAAGTTTTCAAGGATATTCTCTTTCATCTTGACAGTGAAAACCATAAGGACATTCACAACACTGAGAGAGGCGTCGAGCTCCTCATTCACCAACTCCGATAATTCCTGAAGAAAAAGAGGTAACACAGACATCCCATTGTAAATTGTAATTAGCCTGTGATTTTAAGATATTGTTCCTCAGTTAGTCGATGCTACACTATGTCTTATGTTATCCTAAAAATGCTTTCTCCACATCATTTATGCGAGACTACTTGAGATTGATTATCTCCACTCCATGCCCTTCTAAGCATAAAAAAGGATGCAACTTTTAGACTATTCACTTGCTATAAAAAAGGACAATACATTTAGCACTTCTAAGCATCATAGTTTAATTAAGTAAAATCATAAACATTTTTACGAGCTTAGATTTTGAAAATGTGTTCCTTCTGAAACTATAAATTATAGGAAAAACAACGTTTTAGGGTTGCCTATGTTTGCAACGTGGCCATAGATGAGTAAGTTCTGTGTAATAAAGTGTCCTTAAATATGAAGTTTTCTTCAAATAGGCCACTTGGTGTGTAGTTTCTATAAATATCACAACTAGAATCCCGAATTACCTTGGGTGCTAAAAAAACGCAAAGGAAAATACTAGAACCGCAAAGGAAATTTTCCTTGCCCATTAACCATAGCAACTTCCGTCATGTGTTTTATTTTTACTAACACGACCTTGTGTTTTATGTGTCATGCTGACTTCCTTTAATCTTAGCAAATTTCTTGCTTCTGCAGAAGCTCCAAACTTTATTAACCAATGGTTCTTCCACTTTGGTGTGGATAGGTATTTTATTGTTATTGATGATGTATGGGAGGTACGCACCTGGGAAGCAATCGAACTAGCACTTGTTGAGAATAATGGAAGTAAAGTAATCACAACTACTCAAAATGTTGATGTTGCCAAAGCATCTGGTGAGGTTTACAAGCTGAAACAACTTTCCTATGATGACTCCATGAAATTATTTTATACAAGGTTATCTAGAGCAGACCGAAAGTTCCTTGATAACCATCCAGATGACATTTCTGAGAAAATTCTAAAGAAATGTGCTGGTATACCATTAGCAATCATCACAATGGCTAGTTTGTTGGCCGGTAAACCAGAATGCAAATGGTCAATGTTCTACAACTCTATTGGTTTTAAAACTACAGATAACAGGGAGGCTGAAGATACTATGACAATACTTTCGTTTAGCTACAATGATCTGCCTCCACATTTGAGGACATGCTTACTATATCTAAGTACATATCCAGAAGATTATTTTATCGAAAAGGATTCTTTGATATGGAAGTGGATAGCTGAAGGATTTATTGATGGGAAACAGCGAACATTATTTTAGCTTGGAGAAAGATACTTCAATGATCTCATTAATAGAAGCTTGATCCAGCCTGTGGAGAGCAAGTGGAATGGCAGAGTAGACAACTGTCGTGTTCATGATATGGTTCTTGATCTGATGCGTAAGCTTTCATCTAATGAAAACTTTATTGCTATATTAGGTGACAATGTTGAAGGAACACCTGCACCAAGCAGTGTCCGTCGGTTAGCCAACCAAAACAGAATAGCCGAGCACATTAATTCTGAAACAATGGTTACCGGGATGCCAAAAGTGAGGTCATATACCGCATTCAAGTGTTTTATTCATAGTCAGGACGAGTTTTTGAGATTTAAACTTTTGCGTGTGCTGGACATAGTATACTGCAGCTTTGAGAAAGGTTGCCACCTTGAGCATCTTGGTGATTTACTTCACTTGAGGTACCTTAGGATAAGATTCAACGGTAGTTCCCCTGAGCTCCCCATACAACTAGGGAATCTAAAGTTACTGCAAACACTCGATGTGGATGGAACATTGCCAGCTAGCATTGTGCAACTAAAAGATCTGGTCCAGCTATGTGCTCACCGATTGGGATTGGGAAGCTGGTTTCCCTGGAGGAGCTAAGAATATTACCAGCCTGGGATAAGCCCAAGAGATTTTTCAAGGAGCTTGCCAGCCTGCGAGAACTGAGGGTGTTTGAATTAGGCAGTTATGGTGTGGTGGACAAGAGAGCAATCTGCAAAAGATCCAGCATATATATGTGTACGGTTCAAATTGGAACACAGATACAGCCATGTGGGAAGCAGCAGGCTTTGTGCTCCCACGAGCAATCCGTTATTTGCAATGGTCTGTTATTGAATTTTCCAAATTGCCGTCATGCATTAATCCCACACGTCTTCCCAACCTGGGCCACTTGGTGCTGTATGTGTTTACTATGGATGAGCAGGATCTGAAACTCCTTGCTAGGTAACCGGTGCTCTGTTGTCTCTACCTGACAACATTGTCCACGGTAACAGCAAGCAATATTAACTCCAGTGATCGCAGCTTCTTCCAGAAGTTGAGGCACTTTCGGACCAATGCAATGGTCCTGTTTGAGCAGCCCGACGAGGAGGACACTAGCGTTTCATTGCATATGTGGGATGGAGAGGATGCTATGCCCTTTGCCTCTAGAAAAAGCAATGACTCCAGAAAAGTTATACCCTCTGGCGTGATGCCAAATCTTGAAGTGCTACATTTTAATGTCTATTTGCGGGCCCGTAACTACCGTGGGAATATTGGCTTGGAGTACCTGCCTTCCCTTCGGGCACTCAGAGGGCAGATCGTATGTGAAGACATGCCTGTTGCAAAGAGCGATGCTGCGTTGGCTGCACTGAGAGACGCATGCAACGTCCATCCTAACCATCCCACGTTTGATATGCCTATATCATATTATCACGGCTTTTTCACTTGATCGTATCATCCATGCTTATCATCCATGATACGGTGTTTTTGTCTCACAACAAAACAGCATCAGGTACGACGAGAATTTTGTAGTTCCGATCAAATTAATATATCATTATTTGTTTCTATCTTGTTACAGTTCTGTCTCCATTTTGGCATATATTATATACATACAGCACTTGCTTGTCTCTACTCAATTAATTATTGGCTTTATCCGAATTTTCAGCTGGAAGACGATAATAATGTGTCTTAAAGAGATACGAATTTGAATCTGCATGCCTACAGTGTATGTAAGTACTCTCTCCACCCTGTTCTGTTCTATCCTAGCTGATGGTGTCACTGTTGCTGCTCGTGCGTGTCAGCCATTCGAGTGCTTGTGAGTTTTTGGGAGTTCACGGATTTTGAAATTGGGTTAACCTAATTTCCGTCAAACAAATTACTTTATGATTCCCGAGTCCTGACTACATAGTATGGACCGTCGCATTTCCAATAAGCAAATACATGCATGCCGACATCTATGTTGATGTATGAATTACATTTTTGTTTGGGAAGGGCGAGTTCTAATAAGCAAATAACTTTATGCCGACATGTATGCATGAAACTACCAAACGTATTTAAGCAGATACCGATTTTTCATTGAATCCGTTATACAGCGGACGTAGGTATAGTCACTGGACCGTTCCTAGTGCCTGCACCAACTCTGTTTCTGGCCACCAGTGGATACTCTGTTTTCCACTGTCCACCTGTGAGTCTGCGACACGTCCTTCTATGATTATTTACTACGAAATAAGCACTTTTGTCATCGGATAATTTATGGTTGTAAGCGTAATATGTACAGAAGATTAAGTAGAATTATTGACGAACTTGCTTTCTCTCGTAGATTAGTTTTCCTGATCCAAGTTTCTGCTTGAACCGTAATATGTACAGAAGATTAGCTCAAATGGTGTACAGAAGATTAGCTCAAATGGTGTCGGCTTCAATGCTTCAGAGTCCACGTCAGCCCATCGACACAAGTTCACTCGACTGCGAGCCAGACTGTGCCGGCTCTTATGTTCACCCGATCTATTTTCTATTCGAATAAATAAAATATGCTGTATCAAAGTTTCGGTGTACTCCGCTGCTATTAGAACCTGCTGCGACACTTTTCTCCATGCTGAACTGCTGGCTTGTATTATTAGTTTAGTTTCTCGACCTTTTCTGTGGTTCGTACATTCTAATAAGCTTGGAACGTATTTATATTTATGTTGTGCGAAAGTTTGAGGTATATTTGTTTATGTGTTCCTTGTTGGATGAGGTCCCAGTCCTAGTCAGAGCAAATAAAATGGTTTTCTTTGCTCTTTGGTTGTCCTTGAGAAGATCCTTCCAAATCCCAGTGCCAACAGGATCATATTGTGTTGAGGCCACGAGAGTGCCAGGATGGCATCAGGGCACATGGCAATTGGCAAACCGCAGTGGCTGGCTAGCCGGCTCCATCATCCGGAAAATCTGCCACATGCTGCATAAGTAGCTCAAAGTCTGGAACGATTCACTCTCAGTTGAATTGAAAACAAAGAAAAGGAGCTAGCACAAGACTCACCAGCAACGGACGGGGAGCAGAACAAGCCGCAGGAGGTGCAGAAGGCAGAAGCAGTGGCTCCTCGAGATGGGAGGTCGGACTGCGGGAGCTACCGAGGGCCCATGGAGGCGGCCAGGCCTGCCTCTCGTCATCTTCAACCTTGAGTCCTCGACTCCCCTAGATTGAGCGCCGCACGGATTGGGATCCGCCCGGAGGGGACCTCGCCCTATGGGTGGGTCCGCCCACACTGTTGCGTCGTCGTGCTTGGAGGCTTCTGGCGTCGTCGCGCGTGTGCGCCGCCGCGCTGCGCGCCTGAGCTAGGATGCCCCGCCGGGACGCCGAGATGCCACGACCGGGCCTGCCCCCACCACAACGCTGTCGCGCGGGTGCGCCGCCACGCTGAGCCGCCCCGCCGAGATGCCGCGACCAGGCCTACCTGCGCCTCTGCGCGCCGTCGTGAGGCTTGCGACCTCGCGGCGGGGGGTTGAGGACGGTGCTCTCAGAGCGACCTCGCCGTGGTCGGGGGCGGCGCTAGGCGGCTAGGAAGCAGTGGGGGCAGAGGGAGGAGGAGGCACCACGATGGGGGCAACAGTGGCGGCGTTCTAGACGGACGGAGCCTGTGCGAGGAGGAGAAGCATCGGGAGGTTGTTTTCTTTTTTTTTATTGATAGGCCGCCTCCAGGAACCGAACCGCGGCGGGTGCGGGCAGCACGCGGGGTGGGCGATCGTTCGGAGGGCGATGGAGGGCAGACACACTAAACATGAGCCGTCAGATTTGGATGAGTAATGAGAAAGAATGTCTAAGAGATAATCTGGTGCATCTGTTTTGATGGTGTTATATTTTCTAGGTGTATTCATGGGTTTGAATGTAGCATAGGTCATGACTATGGAGCAGACATTTATTGTGTGGCTGTAGATTTATTCTAACTGGTATATTATAGGGTCTCGTCTCTTGAGTTGCTCCCAGCACGTCCTTCTCGCTCATCCTATATATCATCTCATGGCTGGGATCCAAAGGACCAGCAAGGATGATATGAACGCCTATAGTAGTGACAAGCGCGGTGGTCCCAGTGTGGTCACGGGTGGATGCATCGACAAAGGCTGCAGCGCATTTGATGGTAGCGAAGGAAGCGCTGATGTGTTTGGGTAACTAAATAACCGCCGGATACAGAGATCATTGGATCAGATAATCGAGGTTCTAAGGATCTGATTGGTTGCTCGCACTAACTTACATAGCATATAGATCCTATGTAGCATACCCTTATCTGCATTAGCCAGTGCAACTTGCAGTTGTTTGGTTGGACTGAATAGTTAGCTGTATACTGTTGTGCATGTGATTGGTTCCCATGCGTAGGTACAGGAGAGTTTACAAACGTGTGCGTTTGGTTGACTGCACAAATGGTGTTCGGGTACCTCTCGATACTCTCCTCCGAACACGTCTCTTTATTTTTATTTTATTTTTTATTTTCCTCTCCTTATCTCTTGTTTCTCTCTCCTCCGAGCCAAAGAACAAAAGCGCGTCCTCCTCCTCAGTCGCCGCGGAAGCGAGCTCCGCGGCCGCTCTCCACTGGACGCCGGATCCCTTCCTCCTCCTCCTAGCCGCGTCTGGCCTCACCAGCCACCCTTTCTCATCCTCCTCCACAGCCGCGTCGGCTCGCCCGCGCCATATCGTCCTCGCCGGCATGCCCGCGCGTCGCACGCTGTGCCTTGCCGTCGCGGCGGCGCTTCACCTCCACCTCGCCGTCGTGGCCGAGGTCAGCCTCGCGCCATCGCCACCGCGCTTCATCTGATCATCTCCACCTCGCCCGAGCTCAATCTGGCCTCGCCGTCGAGGGCAATGGAGACGCCGTCGCGGAAGGGCAGCGCGGATAGCCGGCGGCCGGGTCGCACCTGATCCGGAGGCCGAGCCCGTGACGGCCGGCGGGAGCCCTCGGGCCTAAAGGCGAACAGCGCCCGGAGGTCGTGGCTCGCCTGGATGCGCCGCACGTCGAGAGCGGGGGGCAGGGGAGGGAGCCGCGGGGGTGGTAGTCCTATCTCAGCCGGACTGCACACTGCAGAGCAGGTGCGGGTCACTGCAGAGCGGCTGCAGATCGGGTGCAATGCAGTTTTGCATAGCTGGATACGCTCGAATTCGGGGGAACATGGGATGCAGATCAACGCTGCTACGAGGATAGTGCTATGCTGCATAAGGCTCTGTACATGTAACCAATCAAGTCCAGTTTGTATTATGGGAGCCTGGAGAAGGGGTTGTGTAGGCAACCTATCAAACCCTAAGTGAATAACATATCTTGCCCAACTACAGCTTTAAATTATTTTATGGTAGTATTTACTTAGTTCGTGTTGACCATGAACTAGTTAATATATATAGTTCCTTTAATAATAAAACCATGCTTTTTGCTTCTCTATTGCGGCTACATATATTATATTCAAGTGAATTTGAGATATGTGGTATCCCGCTAGTTTAACTGAACTTGTTTATTACTCCATCTGTTATAAACTATATGCCGTTCTGACTTTTCTAAATAGATAATAAATGATATGTATCTAGATATATTGTATTCTAGATGCATAACAAAAACCATACTTATAATTCGAAACGAAAGGCGTAGTTGTCACCATTAGCTAAAAAAACAAAGAAACCACCGTATCATTGGTGCCGTAGTGAGCTGAAGAAAAGCTCGGCTCACCTACAAAAGCCGATGTCTAAGGTTTTTCCTCGGCAAGCATGGTTCAAGGCTTGTTCCTAAATGACAGTAGTGCTCATAGGAGGTCATTCCCCTGCTGGCTTACCTTGAGTATTTCACTTATAGTTTTATTTTGAGACCCTAAATCTTAAAAAACTTGTATAAATTCAATCCAATTCTAGTGACATGGTATATTGGAAAAAAAATTCAAAGCATGGCCACGGCGGGACTGGCAATAGTATATCACTACGGGGAACGAGAGCTTTGTCGGGTGCCTAGGGCACACAGCAAAGCCACTAAAACACTCGGCAAACCCTTTGCCGAGTGTAACAATCGGCAAAGGGCACACGACAAAAATTCTATCGGCAAACTAACTTAGCCGAGTATTTTTTGTCGTGCACTCGGCAAAGACATTGCCGAGTGCCCAAAAAACACTCGGCAAACAATTTTTCAGAAAAAAAACAAGCCAAGCCGCTGTCTTCTCCTTCCTCTCGCCGCGCCGCCACCACGCCGCGCCCCCACCACGCCCCACCACGCCACACCACCACCACGCCGCACCACCACCAGGCCGTGCGCCACCACGCTGCGCCACCAACCCCAGGCCGCCGCCACGCCTAGGCCACCACCACATCGTGCGCCACCACACCGCACCACCACCACGCCGTGCCACCACACCCAGGCCGCCGGATCTGGAGAGGGAGGGCCGAGAGGGGGGCTGCACCGCTGGATCCGGGAGAGGGAGGGCCAGGAGGGGGGCGGCGCCACCGGATCTGGGAGAGGAAGGAGGGCTAGGAGAGGGAGGTGCCGGATCTAGTGAGGGGAGGGCGGGGCCGAGCCAGAGAGGGAGGGGGAGGAGGGAAGGGAGGGAGGGGGCGCGCCGGAGAGGGATAGGAGGGGGGCGGCCACGGGAGAAGAAGAAGGGGGAGGGGAGGGGCGCGCGCCGGGGAATTAAATATGATTTTGTCCTTTGCCGAGTGTCCTAGATCTAGACACTCGACAAAGTTTTTTTTCATTTTTTTCGTCTCCTTATTTCCCAGAAAAAAAGATTTTGTTTCTTTGCCGAGTGTGATAGATCTGGGCACTCGGCAAAGTTTTTTTTTCATTTTTTTCTTCTCCTTCTTTCCCAGAAAAAAAGATTTTATTTCTTTGCCGAGTGCAAAAAAGAAAACACTCGGCAAAACCCCCTCTTTGCTGAATGTTTTTTTTGACACTCGACAAATCTCCTGTTTGCCGAGTATTTTTAGCGCAGCACTCGGCAAAAAACTTGTTCGCCGAGTGCTCGAAGGAATACACTCGGCAAACATAAAAACACTCGGCAAATTTGACGTTTCTAGTAGTGTATACCCATAAAGAAAATTACATGCGATCACTAATAAAAATGACTAAATGGATGAAAAATAATAGCCTCAATAGTAAGATCGGTTTGGGAGATGGAATTGGAAGAGTGCGCTAGCTGTGTCCGCTGCTTTCGGAAGAGCCAGTTGTAAAAAAAAACTTGACCTGCGGGGGTAAGTCACTCCTGGGCATTGCTGTAAGAGAGAAGACCTTCTCACACAGGCCGAGAAAACCCCGGACCTCTGTTCCACCCTGACACAGGGGCACCGTTGCCCTGTGAGAACTAGGCCGGGCCTATGACCTGTACTTTGGCCGTGGGACAGATGAGGAGGTTTTTTTAACCCTAAACCTGAAACTCGCATTTGCGACCAGAATGAAGCCCTGAGCACAGATCATCAGAAGTAGCAGTAGCAGAGCGAAGCAGACCGCCGGCGACCTCGTTGGAACATGTCCGGTACTCCGCGTCATGGATGGACGCGGATGAAGTATCATTTGATGAGTCGGCAAA